ATGAAGGAACTCACCTTCGTACCACCAACCAAGTGATGGAAGAAACTCACTATTCATTCCACCTACCAGAAGACGAGTGGTACAACTTAATCAAAAACCCTCAAGCTTGCCAACTCAACCAGGGGAACATTTATGCCCAACAAGAGTTATAGTCACCAACAAAGTCTTATTGCAAGTCAACAACAACTTCAGTACATGGCATACGAAGATCAAACTATTCAGCCCTCTTGCATCTACTTCAAACATTTCCCCTCTATAATAATGCAAACACTACAACTCGTAGAAAGCTTCACACACTCTTGATCAAGACAGTGTGAAGCAAAACCAATTTATGGTGCCAACAAGAGCTTCATCAAAGGAGTTCAACCACAATTCTCAAAAGCTTCACACACTCTTAATCAAGACAGTGTGAAGCAAAACCAATTTATGGTGCCAACAAGAGCTTCATCAATAGAGGGCAACCACAATTCTCAAAAGCTTCACACATTCTTGATCAAGACAGTATGAAGCAAAACCAATTTATGGTGCCAACAAGAGCTTCATCGAAGAAGTTCAACCACAATTCTCAGAAGCTTCACACACTCTTGATCAAGACAGTGTGAAGCAAAACCAATTTATGGTGCCAACAAGAGCTTCATCAATAGAGAGCAACCACAATTCTCAAAAACTTCACACACTCTTGATCAAAATAGTGTAAAGCAAAACCAATTTATGGTGCCAACAAAACCTTCATCAAAGGAGTTCAACCATAATTCTCAAAAGCTTCACACACTCTTGATCAAGACAGTGTGAAACAAAACCAATTTATGGTGCTAACAAAAGCTTCATCAATGGAGGGTAACTACAATTCTCAAACATTCGAAGCGAATTCAAGACTGTTTGAAGCAAATTCAATTTATATGGTTCATCCAAACTTTCGACTACTACAAGGTGTGGCTTGCATCACAATCTCTTACTCAACAGTATGGAAGCAAAATTTGTATATGTCACTCCCACATTTTCAAATTTCTAGTTTCCCAAAAAAAATAAAAAAAAGGGAAATTCAACAAAGCTTCATCATTGGAGGACAACTAAAAATTCTCAAAAGCTTCACACTATCTTGATCAAGATAGTGTGAAGCAAAATCAATTCATGTACCCAACAAAAGCTTCAACTCCAAAGCTTCACCAACAAAAGCTTCATTAATGGAGGACAACTACAAATTCTCAAAAGCTTCACACTATCTTGATTAAGATAGTGTGAAGCAAAATCAATTCATGGTACCCAACAAAAGCTTCACCTACAAAGCTTCACCTACAAACCTTGATACTCAGAAGTCTCACGACCACTTAGTGACTTGGATTTTTTCAAGTCTCTAACTGAGAAGTTTTCCTCACTCGGGAAATTAAGGGAGCACTACCTCAACATACATGCTTCACTCACAAAGCTGCAACATACAAGATTCAACAAAAGGAAAAATTCAAAGAACTTAGTGAAGAAGGTCTTAGTGCATTTAACACAATACGTTGAAATGAAGCAAAACTTGTTTATTGATATCTCCGATAAGTTACAAATATGTACATATATATGAATCAAAATAAACAAACAAGAGGGAGCCTTCACAGAGGTTGCTCAGGAGAAGTTTCAGCAGTCGGCAGAGCCCAAAAAAGAGAAGGCACCAGAGGGTGATTATTCAGAGCCTCGGTACTAGGCAGAACCCCAGAAGGAGGAGGCACCGAAGGTTGATCATTTGGAGCTTCATTACGCGGTACAACCCCAGAAGACGAAGGTAATAAATGCATTTGGAACAAACCCACAAACCTCTGATGATCAAGTAAAATCTGACCATCAAATTCCTGCAGCTGGTCGAGCTTCCTCTTCATGTTTGTAGCATAGTCATGTGCGAGCCTGTGCAACTGTTCATTCTCATGCTTGAGCCCTCTGATTTCCTGTTTGAGACCTATCACTTCAGCCGTCATTGATTCAACTTAGCGGGTTCGGGCAAATAGATGTTGGGCCATATTAGACACAGAACCTACACACTGAACACTGAGAGCCAGAGAATCCTTAACAGCCAACTCATCAGACCGTTTGGAAAGTAGTCTGTTATCTTTGGGAATGAGAAGGTTCCTGGCCACCACGGCAACAATCATATCATTCTTCATCACAGAGTCCCCAACGGTCAAATGACCACTAGGGGATAAGAAGGATGGGTGCCATATGTTGTATTAAGAAGGCATGGCTGCCTTTTCACCAAAGTTCAAGTTAAAACGACGGTCGGATGGGCCAGACATTCTCAGAAGTGATGAAAGAGAAATGAGGTGTAATAAATCTCTGAAGTAAGGGGAAAATTCCTACAAGCAATAACTCTCTGAATGTACTTCTTGCACACAATTGGTACCCTTATAAAAGAAAGGGCAACATGGCCGTTGGTTCAAAAATCGAAGAGGCACCACTCTTCGGATTCCGAAGAGGCACCACTTTCCACACGCAACGTCAGCTCCTCGGGTACCACATATAACTTTGCCAAAGATCTCTGACAAAGTTTAGACGCATAAATTTTGAAGGTCCAGCTACCCTACTATTACCCACAAGGGTAAAGGAAGAGCACAACTGCTTGATAACTAGAAAGTCCCAATGTGTGTCAACCTCTGTGCTCCATGGCAAGGCAGACTGGCAAAAATGCCCAACCTTTACTCACATTCCAGAAAACACTCCCAACAAGATTGCTTGCTCAAAAATTGAAGAGGCATCGCCTTCCGAATCTCGAGAGCCAGACTCCTAACATGATTACTTTCTAAAAAATCGAAGAGACACTGCTATCCGAATCTCAAGAGTCAGACTCCCAACATGATTGCTTTCTAAAAAATCAAAGAGGCACCGCTCCCCGAATCTCGAGAGCCAGACTCCCAACAGGATTACGTGCTTAAAAATCGAAGAGGCACCGCCCTCCGAATCTCGAGAGCCAGACTCCCAACAAGATTACTTTCTCAAAAATCGAAGAGACACTACTCTCCGAATCTCAACAGTCAGACCCCCAACATGATTGCTTTCTCAAAAATCAAAGAGGCACCGTTCTCTGAATCTCAAGAGCCAGATCCCCAACAGGATTACTTGTTTCGAAAACTGAAGAGGCACCGCTCTCCGAACTTCGAGAGCCAGATTTCCTCGGATAAAACTTGTCTACAATCTTCACACGCAACATCAGCTTTCCAGATACCACATACCACTTTTTCAAAGTGCTCTGACAAAGTTAAAACACATGAAGCTTGCAGCTCCTACTACATTGCTATGACTAAGAAGGGTAAAGGAATAGCACTACTACTTGTTGTTAGGGAAACTCCTATATATGTCAACTTCCATCCTCCACAGCTAGGCAGACCTGCAAATAAAAAAAAATGTTCAACTGTTATTCACATCCGAGAGGGCACTCTCAGCAGAGTCTCTCGAAATACTCAGCTTCTTTTCCTCCCGATAATACATCTGCAAACAAGCCACACCAGAGCAAGAGTATCTCATATCATCAGGGTTAAAAGCAAGAGTATCCCATATCATGCTTTTTCCCTGTCTTTTCCTTTGGCCTTGTTCTTACCTGCAAGACAATGAGAAAGAGAGCAATCAGCAGCACTTGGAATCAAGCTTCTAGTCAGGAACTGACTGCCTAGAACCCCTTGCCTGATTACTTACCTCGCATTGCTCTCGAGTACTCATCTTCAACATCTTATGCTTCCAGAGAAGATACCACATTTGCTTGAGGAACAAATAGGGCAAGTGAGAAGGATACAAGGAAGCATGTGGAGACAAGCGTAACAAAACACGTGTCGATACATCCACTACTTTGTGAACAACAAAAGTATCCCATATCATCAGGGTTGAACGTACTCTAGATTTGATGGACTTGTTTTGACCCTCAAATTCTTGAGTCGGCCTTATACTCTGGAGGAAACCAGAAAACCTTCCAGCCCTGTTCAAGAATAAGCCTGTGGAAAGTTACTTCTTCAAAAGCAAAAGTATCTCATATCATCTCTTCTCCATTTGCTTCTCCTTATCCTTGTTGCTGTTTACGACACAAGGAGAAGGAGAACAATCAACCGGAAGCCGAAGTCGAACCTCTGATCCGAGTTGCTTGCTTGGAAGTCTGATTGCTTACTTTGTCTGTTACCTTCTTCGGCAAATCTCCTAACTCGGCGACTTGGGGGACTCCTACTATAGGGTTTGTATCGCACTTGACCAAGCCCGAAACTACAAGTAAGCTTCAAGTAAAATTGATACATTACCTTGTGCATCTTCATCGGTTAAAGATACCACCTCTGGATGGAGGAAAAATACTTCTAGTGAAGATGCCACATCTACATATGAGACAGATAAGGCAAGTGAAAATGATACCACACTTCGGTACTTAGAAGTTTGTGATTACTCAATAGCTTGGATCTTGCAAGTCCCCAACCGATGAGCTTCCCTCACTTGGGAACTTAGGGGAGCACTGTTTGTACCATACTTGACCAATCCCGAAACTACTGAGCACCGGTCAACGTTATACCGTCAAGGACCTAGAAGAGTTTCCCTCCAACCAGGAGGCCAATCACAACGCGACACATGTCGACATCAGAAGCCAATCATAACACAACACGTGTCAACATCAGAAGCCAATTACAACACGACACATGTCAATGTCATAATGAAAGTATAAACTCTCTTCTATAAATAGAGATCATTCTCTCACAATATTTTCTAATATCATTTGTACTAAATCATTCACTAGTACTCACAAAAGGAGAGCTTGAACCTATGTAATTTTGTAAACCCTTCACAATTAATGAGAACTCCTCTACTCCGTGGACGTAGCTAATCTGGGTGAACCACATACATCTTGTGTTTGCTTCCCTATCTCTATCCATTTACATACTTATCCACACTAGTGACCGAAGCAATCTAGCGAAGGTCATAAACTTAACACTTTCTGTTGTACCAAAGTCCTAACTGATTTTATGCATCAACAAGGGTAATTAAGATCTCTTATGCTACCGATGCAATGAGAGAATTTTGACCTTATTTGGTTTGCCAAAGATTATTTTTAAAGGGCCTAGACCAAGTATTCCACTAGCTTTCCCATAGTGAGGATCAGTATGACTGGCACAACCAAAAACAACATCCGGTACGGTGCTAATGCCTTCGTCAGACGTCTCGAAGGTGAACTTTTCAGTCCCAACAAGTCCGTCTACAATGCTACCACCAGCATACCTGCGAGAGAATTTGTAATTATTTGAGGGGTCACATTTGTCATCGTTAATTGTGCAATTGGAGGATGAGCATGGAAATTGGGTGTATGTTGAAGACTTGGAAGGGTAAAAAATTGGACTTGTTTGTTCAAGGCACTTTGTACAAGGAAGACGTTGAACCCACACGACGTTGCTTCCTGAGTCTATGGATATGAGCTGAGGAACTTGTGGCTCTCTAATTGAAATATTTGCCATAAATTCTGCAGTGTTCCTAGGAACAAGACCAACACGGATGTCTTCGTCGGTGAAATAATGGGCCTTTGCTTCCAAGTATGTTAAGCGTGCCATGGAGCGTTTCATCATGCTTATAGCTCGGTCTGTGATAGTTGAATTATGATTGTAGTAAGGAGACAACGCATAATCATGGTGAATAAGTTTTGTGACAAAACGCCTTGGCTTTGTGGTGGTGGACTTGGTGGTGGTAGCGGCGGTGAGAGTAGTGGTTAAGCATAATAACCATTTGAAGATAACAAAATTAATAAGAGTGCGCGAAGTAGACTTCGCATATAAGGCTGCCATATCTAAGCCTTCAACATTGAATTTATTTTAGGCAAGAGAGAGTTTTGCTTCTTTATACAGTCAATGTAAGATACATATGGACATAATCTTCTTGCGTATATGTTGGTTCTTATCACAAGGGATTACCACTTCAGAGAGGACCATATGCATTTGAAAAAAAGGTGAAATTATGATGTATTAAATTAGACAATATTTAATTGCGATTCACCCACGTTAAGCGTGTTGAATTCCACGATTTTCTTTATTATTTGATGATATAATTAGAAGAAAATCAGAGAATATCATAATGATATCTTGGTGTATATGAATAGTTATGTCCTCTCCTGAGAGTATGAGTTTGATCATCATCCTTACTAAATGGTAAGCATTACTATCATCTTAAAAGCACGCCACATGTTAGTGGTCTAACCATGATTTACCAATTTAATTATGGGTTAGGATCGGGATACCCGCACACATTTTAACACACTTTGTGTTGCCGTGAGTAATCTTTAAAATATGAATGTAAATATTGTGTAAATATTAGAGTCCTTTATTAGGAAGGATATCTCTTGTGTCCTTTTTAGTTTTCTTTTGAGAACAAAGATTGTACGTATTATATACCAAATTATACAATACATGAAAATTAAGCTATAAAATTCTATTTGGCATGGGAGCCTAACCGTACCCTTAAAAAACTTCTACCGTACTGCTACTGCATGTTCAAGTCTGTAGTCTTGTGTTTGTGCTGTGTTCTTTGCAGCAAACCGAGAGCTGCAAGAGTAGTGTCTACTGTGATCAGCATGTGTACTTGTGCGTGATCCATGGCGAGTGGTCAGGAAGGATTAGGGCTCAAATTGGAGGGTGCGTCTCATGGCTCGGCCAACAACTCAATTTTGAGTCCGGTTGTAATTCAAAGTGATGCTTCAAACGTACCAAATACCGTAAAACTCAATGGATTAAATTATCCTCTTTGGTCCACAGTATTGGAGATGCATATTGCTGGGCATGGTAAGAAAGGTTCATGACAGAGAGTATTAAGGAGCCCAAGGAAGACAGTGTTGAGTATGAAGCTTGGAAAACTGGGAATGCAATTGTGAAATGGTGGTTGATTAATTCCATGGATCCTACCATCATGGGATTTTTCATCCATCTTCGTACCGCTAAATAAGTATGGGAAGAAGTTGCTCGAACGTATTATGATGGGTCTGATATCTCTCAGATTTATGAGTTGAAGGTAAAATCATTCCGACTTCGATAAGAAGGGCGGCCTATTGATGTGTACAATGTCGATCTCAAAGTTGTCTAGCAAAAACTGGATCAAAGAAGACCAATCAAGATGGAATGTGCTATTGACTTGAAGATACTTCGAGAAGAGATCCAACTAGACCGTGTGCATACCTTTCTAGCAGGGCTTGATGATATCTTTGATAATATACGTAGTGATATTTTGAGAACTCAACCTTTACCATTTGTTGGGAACCAAGAAGGAGCCCCCATGTGGCTATGGTGTCACCAAGGGAGGCTCCTCCTTGGTTCCCAACGACACTACTTCCCATCATAGTAGCATGGCATTGTGCTTCCCGCCTAACAACAGAAAAAACTTCATCCACGGATGGTAAAGGTTAAGCTCTCAAAATATCACTACATACATTATCAAAGATTCATCAAGCCCTGCTAGAAAGTTATACACACGGTCCGATTGGATCTCTTCTAGCAGGGCTTGATGATATATTTGATAAAGTACATAGCGATACTTTGAGAACTCAACCTTTACCATCTGTGGATGAAGTGTTTTCTGTTGTTAGGCGGGAAGCACAACGCCATGCTACTATGATGGGAAGTAGTGACGTTGGGAACCAAGGAGAAGCCCTCTTCCCCGTGGCTATGGTGTCACGGCCACCATCTTCTGGCCGATCCTATAGCTCATTGTCATCAATAAATTCTCGCCCATTTACTCGCAAAAATAAGGATGATTTGAACTGTACTTTCTGTGGCCAAACCCGTCATACGGAAGATACTTGTTTTAAAAAACATAGTATCTGAATGGTTCCTGAAATTGAAGAATAAATTGCATGCCAAGGAGCGTGCTGCTAATAGAACCAGTGGGAGTCGTGCATTTGTAACCGCCGCAATGCCTAGAAATAAGGAGGTCGTGCCTATTTAAGGGGATCCGAGTCAAACCTTGTTGACTAATCCTAGTGAGTTCTTGTCCAATACAGGTGTTGTTGGACTTGTTCTTTTAGCCTTTGGTACTAAGCACCATATAGGTTGGATTCTAGACTCTGGTGCAACTGATCATATGATATTCGATAAAAAAATATTTACATGTATGACAACGACTCATCAAAAATGTGTAGCAACAACGAATGGCACCACTGCCGTGGTGACTGGGGTTGACACAATGGACCTCATGCCGTCTTTGTCTCTTCACCACTGTTTGCTTGTTCTGTCGTTGTCTCATCATTTATTATCTATTCCCTAAGTTACTAAGCGATTGGACTGTGTTGTACTTATGTATCCATTTTTTTGTTTACTTCAAGATATTCAGACCAATGAGATAATTGGGCGTGACACTAAGAGAGAAGGGTTGTAATATGTGTATGACGTCATTCTTAGCAGAGCTAATGCAGTTCGAGCATCTCGTACTAGTAATCTGCAAGAAGTTTGGTTGTTGCATCGTTGGTTAGGACATGCTTTTTTTGGTTATTAAGGTGTATGTTGCCTAGTTTGTTTCATGAAATAAAAGAATCAGACTAACACTGTGACGCATGTATTCTAGCTAAGAGCCATCGTGCTTCATTTTCTCATAGTATGAATAAAAGATTGCTTCCATTTGAGCTTGTGCATTCAGATGTTTGGGGGCCTTCACCCGTTAATACCGTTTCAGGGGTTAAGTGGTTTGTTACGTTTGTTGATGATTGCACTCGTATGACATGGGTATATATATTGAAACATAAAAGTGACGTTAGTATGATTATTCAATCTTTCTCTCAGATGGTGGCTATACAATATTCCTCCGTTATTAAGGTTCTCCGTTCTGATAACGGGGGTGAATATGTTAACTCTAAGCTATCTTCTTTTTTTCGTGATCAAGGAATCCTCCATGAGACCACTTGTCCTTATATCCCACAACAAAATGGGGTGGCTGAGAGAAAAAAAAACCGCAATATTTTGGAAACTGCTTGTGCATTGCTTATTGATGCATCTGTACCTGAGAGTTTTTGGCCGGACGCCGTCACTTAGGCAATGTATGTCATCAATCGTATGTCATCAATCGCATGTCATCGCGGGTTGTGGAATTCTGTACTCCACTCCAAGTACTAAAGGAACATGTTCCTATTGTCTCTACCAACACTCTTACTCCTCAGGTGTTTGGATGTGTTGCTTATGTTCATATCCACAAGATTTATTGTAGTAAATTGGATCCCTGTGCTCTTCGATCTTTGTTGACTTTGCATCCCAATAGAAAGGTTATAAGTGCTACCACCCTGAAACCCACCACATGTATGTAACCATGGATGTGCTTTTCTCTGAATCGGAATATTTTTATAGTCCAGTATCATCACCTTCTGATCCCAAGGGGAAGATTGCTATTTGTGATCTTGATGGTGTTTTTGGGTTGTTGGATGTACAAGATGTAATTGCTTCAGGGGGAGTGCACCATGATCATGACAATGCCATGCCGAGGGATGTAGCAGAGTTTCAGTCCCTTCCTGCCGAGACTGTTGCAGGTGGTCAACCACTAATTGTCGAGGAAACCTGTGCCGAGTAATAATTTAACAACCAAACAAAAATTCGTAAAAATTGAAAAAAAAAAAAATATGCACATAGCATTTCAAACAAAATCATTCTCTAGCCTGGAAAGGAATCTTGAGAAGTAGAGATGTTGTCCGTAAAAAATGAGATGGATTGTGAGTAATGGCAAGGATATCCTTTTCTGGACCATCATTGCAATTTTCCTTACCCACTTGTCCATCTGATTCCAGAAGATAATCATGGAAACTTACACTGAAATTCAAGAGTTAGTGATTTTATTGGTGGTAATTGTTGGGATAGAGGACGTCTTTTGCAAGTTGTAGATAATGACATAGTAAGAAAGATTTGTATAATCCCTGTCCCCTGGTATAATAATAAAGATTTCTTTGTTTGGGAACATTCCTCGAAATGGGAGTTCTCAATCAAGTCAACCACTTAGATCTAGAGAAGCAATAACCAAGTAAACAGGAAAAATTTACTCAAGAAGATGTGGAGGTTAAAAATTCCTCTGCAGGTAAAAATTTGAAAGTTTTAACGAAAAGCCGGCAGTACTGTTTATTTTAACAAAAAATCATATTTTTACACTAAAAAGTCAATCTCGATACTATTCACTTTACTTTTTATTTTGTCCTTATCGTTAAAACTTAAAGTTTTCAAACAATTTTCATTAGTTTTTTTTAAAAAATTTTGCTTGACTTTTTATTCTGGAAAAATTGCATAGAGTTCGGTTAAGTAAACATATTCAGAATATAAATAAATTATGTCCTATATGTGGTGGTGAAGAGGAAAGTCAGAATCACCTTTTCCTTAAGTGTCAACATGCTATGCAAACATGGAATCTCTCATGTGTTAGTCCTTGGGGAAGTAAAGGACACCAAGTAAGTAATATAATTGACTGATTGGATAACCTTATTTCCAAGGAGGTCAATGAGCTAAGTGATTTAAGCAAAGTAATTTTAATTTGCTGGCAAATCTGGCATGATGGAAATAACAAAGTTTCCCCTTCATCTATAAGTGGAAGGTTTTAAGTT